AAATGGCGGCGGCAGCGGTGGTAGTGACGCGGCGGGAGCGGGCCCTGAGGCGCTTGGCAACGGCGAGGGTACCTTCGGTGGCGGTCTCTTCGCGATGCACCTTGTCTGTTCCGTTACCTCATCCCCCCCCGTGCGCGAACCATCCGACCTTTTCCCACATCGCCCGGGTTCGACGGTCTTCCTTGGAGACACCGGCGCCGTAGTCCACGTGGTCGCTTCTGGGGACAAGGTGTACAACAGGCGCCCGCCGCTCCCGGAGGAGCGACTACTCATGCTTGGCGACGGTAAGCACATCCCGGTAGAGTTTTTCGGTGACTTGGATGTGATCTTCCACTGCCCTGAGGACGTGCGCGTCACCCTGCAGAATGTTGGTGTGGTACCGGGTTTGGCGCTAGATATTCTGTCGCTGAACAAGATCCAGGATCGCCATGAGATCAAGCTTAACCGGCATGGAGCATCGATCTTGGGGGGGCGAGTGCGCATGACAAAATTCCCTCACGGGAATTACATCCAGGGGACTCGCGTTGATCCACTGCCTCAACGCGACTCACCTCCTCAGCCCCCCGCGATGGTTGCGGCGATGCTACGGCCTGGCACGCAATCCAGCATCGACTACAACGCTCTTCACTGCTCCCTCGGTCATGCCAATTCCAAGACGCTGTACGAGACTGCCAAGCAGATGGGTATCAAGGTGACCGGCACTCCGGAGTACTGCGATGGATGTGCGGAGTCGAAGGCGATTCAGCGCTCGGTCCCCAAGGTCATCTCCCCCTCCCGCCGGACGACGCGGCCTCTTGAGCGCGTCGCGATGGACCTAGCCGGTTCGTTCGGCCAATCAAGCGGTGGTGGGGGGAATGGCCGGAGGCCCCGCGGTGGCGGCCNCCGCGCACTCGGCGGCGATGGCATCGGACGGACTGTGGACGGAGATGGTGCATGAGGGCGGTACAGGCGGACGTCGTCGGCAGGGGCAGCGGGAGTTTGTAGCGACCCCCGCAGTGACGAGGTCGCGGGCGAAGCGAGATGGGCCGGGGCCGGGGATATTTGCTCTTCTAGCCACGGAGGACGAGATCAAGCGGTCTATCGCCGAGCTTCCTGCACCGGGCGTCGCTGAGCCAGCCCTGCCGACGGGGCTGGTGTGCGAGCTGGAGACGCCGGAGACATACGGGGAGACGCACGCGGGGCCCCACCACCACATCTGGACCAACGCCGAACGCAAGGAGTTTTTCGGGCTGAATGCAGTGGGCACCTTCGAGGAGGTCGGGGCGGAATAGCA